TGTATGTATATTTCCTTCATAGGTTAGGAAAGTTTTTAGTCATTTCTTTAAATACATTTTCAATTTCTTGCTCTCTTTCTCTCTTCTTATTCTGGCATCCCAATTATGTGAATGTTGTTATGCTTGATATTTTCCCAGAGGTGCCTTAAACTACCCTCATTTTAAAAATTATTTTTCTTTTTTGTTGATGTGATTGGGTTTTTTCCATTACATTGTCTTCCAAATCACTGATTCAATCCTCTGCTTCATCTAATCTGCTTTGATTCCATCTTATGTATTCTCCATTTCAGTTATAGTAATATTCATTTCTGACTGCTTTATGTTTCCTATCTCCTTTTTCACTTTTTTAAATCTCTTTGTTGAAGTGCTCACTGAAATAATCTATGCTTCCCCTAAGTTCATTGATGAGACTTATAACCAGTGTTTTGAACTCTATATCTGGTAGACTGCTGGTCTCCATTTGCTTAGTTCTTTTCCTAAAATATTGTTCTGTTCTCCCATTTGGGACAGGTTTCTTTGTCTTCCTATTTTGCTGCCTCTCTGTGTTTGTGTCTATATATTAAGTAGATCTGCTACATCTCTCCCAGTCTTGGTAGGGTGGCCTTATGTAACAGGTATCTTGTGGGGCCCAGTGGTGCAGCCTCCCTTGTCACCTGAACTGTGAGCTCCAGAGGTGTACATAGTGTGGGTTGTATGTGCCCCCCTGCTGTAGTTGAGCACATTGGTGGGTGAGATTGACCCTCAGGCTGACTGTCTGTGAGAACTGGCCATGACTACAGTGGGCAAGCTCTTGTGCAGGGGCTGACCCCATGGAGTGGGATTTGCTTTCACTAGGCTATAGTGCCTGCTGAGTCTGCACTTTGAGTGTGTGTGGCACTAATTAAGTGGTGCTCTGGTGTGGTCTGAAACTAGATACCAGGTGTGTTGGTTCTGGGGCCTCTTGGGAGGGGCTTCAGTGTAGGAGCAGGTCAGCCACTGTCTGTGCCCAGCTTAGGACCACCTGGTAGGAGCTACAAATTGATCTGTGGTTGGTAGCTGCCTATGCTGGGCTTGGAGGTACCTGGGGGTGGTTATGCTATGAACCAAGGCTGGCTGCCACTACTGCCTGGCTTGGGGCTGCTTAGCAAGAGGTATAGAGCATGCCAAGGCCAGCTGCTGCTTGATTGGGGTTTGTGAACTTTTGAGAGATTTTAGGAAAGTCAGCAGTGTGGGCCTACATCAGCAGCTTGTATAGATTACCCTCTATTATTGTGATGTATTATTTCAATTCATCTTATTATTGTCCCCAAATAAGGCATTACTATTTTTATTTTTTACTGTCAATGTTTGTTTCTACATTCATTTACTTTTTAAATTTTTATTAAATTTGTAGTTTATTGTGGTGACATTGGTTAATAAATGATATAGGTCTCAAGCGTACAATTATAAAATACATCATCTGTACATTGTATTGTGTATTCACCACCCAAACTCAAGTCTTCTTTCATCACCATTTATCCCCCCTTTACCCTCTTCTACTTCTTCCCACGCCCTTTTCCCTCTGATAATCACCATACTGTTGCCGCTGTGTGTGTGTGTGTGTGTGTGTGTGTGTGTGTGTGTGTGTATATATATATATATATATATATATATATATATATATATATATATTTGCTTAATCCTTTCACCTTTTTCACCCAGATTCCCAAACCGCCTCTACTCTGACAACTGTCAGTCTGTTCTTTTTATCTATGAATCTGTTTATATTTTGTTCATTAGATTACACATATGAGTGCAATGATATGGTATTTGTCTTTCTCTAACTGGCTTATTTCACTTGAATATATTTACTTTTTGGAGTAATATTATTTTCTGATTACAAATATGTAACATTACACCAAATTCAAATATTGTAAAATACTTAACACCAAAGATATCCCTAATAATCTCCCCCATCCCCAACCAGAGAACTGCTATAAAGACTTTGGAGCATTCTTTGCCAGCTCCCCTCACCATCATATTGTTGTTTTTATAAATGTGGGTCATTATTAAAGTATGATTCTCTAAATGGTTGTTGTTGTTGTTTCATTTCATACAAATAGAGTGAGCACGTGTTAAAATTTAATTTAACTCATGAAGGAGGAAACCAGCAGGGTGGCAAAATTAACTCAAAAGAGAATACGAGAACTGGAATTTTATAGTAAGTTAAAAACAAAAGCAATGCTAAAATAATGTTGTTAAGTTAAAATCAAAGCTGATTAATGTTGTCTAAGGTAACAAGAACTGAAATGGTGGTGTCTTCTTTAGGTGGAAAGAAAATAGTATAATTGCATCTTATCAGTTTTACAGAATTGTAAAATGACTGGACCTTAAAGAATTGTGCTAAATTATAATTCTCTAAACCTAGAGAATCAGATGACTTTTGGACAGGCCTGTTAGAGAATGTTCTTAATGGGACATTAAAGCATTAGGTAATCATCTTTTCCCTTTGTATTAATATCCCAGCACTGCTATAATAAATTTCCATATACTAGTTGGTTTTAAAAAAACATTTTCTTGCAGTTCTGGAGGTCAGAAGTCCAAAATCAGTTTCACTGAGACAAAAATCAAGTTGTCAGTAGTGTTTTGCTTCTTTTGGAGGCTCTATGGGAGAATCTATTTCCTTGCTTTTTACAGCTTTCTAGAGCTGCATTTCTGGCTTGTGACCCTTTCCTCCATCTTGAAAGCCAACAGTGTAATATTTTTAAATATTGTCCTTCTATCTTTATATCACCTTCTCTCTTATAAGGACCTTTATGGTTACATCTAGCACACCTGGATAATCCAGGGTAACTCCCCATTTCAAGGTCAACTAATTAGTCATCTCAATCCCTCCCTCAACGCTCCCTTAACATGTAACATAACATATCCATAGGTTCTGAGGATCAGGGTGTGGGAGATATTTGGAAGAGTACATTATTCTTCCTGTAAAACCCTTATTTCCAAATTTTGAGTAATTCTTCCTAACCTCATCCCAAACATTTTTTCTCTTGCTTTTTTCACCTGTCCTTTCATTTAGTAATGCTGTACACATCTACATCATTCTTCTTTTTTAAATATATAGTTTTATTGATTTCAGAGAGGAAGGGAGTGGGAGAGAGAGATAAGAACATCAATGATGAGAGAGAATCATTGATCAGCTGCCTCCTGCACACCCCACACACTGGGGATTGAGCTCACAACGTGGGCATGTATCCAGACCAGGAATTGAATCGTGACCTCCTGGTTCATAGGTTGATCCTCAACTACTGACCACACTGGCTGGGCTACCCCATTCTTCTTAATGACTAAACAGCATTCCAATTTTAGAGTTGCCAGAATTTAATTATTTCCCTATAGATGGAAATTTAAGTATTTACCATTACAAAATGCTGCAATGAACATTCTTATACATATCTCTTTGCACAATGGTAGCTATGTTTCCAGAAGAAAAATTCTTAGAGGTTAAAATTCCAAGACAAAAAGTATATCCATTTTTTAAAATTTTGACAAATACTGACAAATTGCCTTCCAAAAATGTGTGCCAATACTTTACTCTCATACCAGTAATGAGAGTGCCTGTTTATTTATCTCCATCACTTATGCTCAATACTTGGTATTTCCTTTAAGTCTTTGAGCCTCTATAAAGCACTTTGAGATATTCATAGAGGTTTCTCCTGGCATAAAATAACAATTTAATAATTGTTTGATGACTTGAAGGTTAGTACAATGCAAATCCACTTGTAGAACTCAGAAGACTTATCCTAACAACGATATAACAGTAACAGAGCTAATATATGTAAATGTGCCCTTTAATATTATGCAGTGCTATTCAGATATTACTTCCATACACAGAAATGTGTTTTCACCCTTAGTTCTCATCCCTCACTCAGGTTGGCCTTACTACTTGCCAGTTTCACATGCTATATGCTTTGTTGCTAGGGCTCATGAGGTAACTTTCATTGGGAACCCCAGAGGCTCTAAGGACCAAAGTGTGTGACTGATGGTGCCAGTCCTTCAGGAGGAAAAGCATAAGATAATGGGCATATGTTTCCCCTGAAGACAGTAATAAAGTCCAACAGCAAAGACTCCAGAGAACGAGGATTCCCACTTTGAGATTGGTAATATTTTGGAGGGTCCACTGATTTTGTAATGAAGGCCTTCTCAGAGACAAAGCCCCATGGGTTCAGATGGAATGTCCTGGTGAGTACCTTGTCATACAGCTGTCCAATCCACCTCCACACTGTGAAATAGCAATCACCTCTGTAATGCTAAGGATCATGACATTTGTGAGGTGCAGGCTTGAGGGAGCTAGCTTAAAGCACACTGAAGTTTGACCTAGGCTCTCAGGACTGTAATAGCTCAGGGGAGGGGTACTATTCTCTACCACTCACATTCTGTGGTCTGCTCTAAGGACTAGAAGTCAGCTTCTCAGTGAGCGTAAGGGCAATGTTGGCAAGAGGAAGTCTAAAAGAATGGGTTTCAGCCCGGCTGGTGTTGTTCAGTGGTTGAGCATTGACCCATGAACCAATAGGTCACCAGTTCCATTCCCTGTCAGGGCACATGCCTGGGTTGTGGGCTTGATCCCTGGTGAGGGGGCATGCAGGAAGCAGCCGATCAATGTTTCTCTCTCATCAATGTTTCTATCTCTCTTCCCCTTCCCTTCTTCCCTCTAAAATCAATAAAGACGTATTTTTTTAAATATTTTTATTGATTTCAGAGAGGAAGGAAGAGGGAGAGATAGAAACATCAATGATGAGAGAGAATCATTGATCAGCTGCCTTCTGCATGCCCCCCACTGGGGATCGAGCCTGCAACCCCAGCATGTGCCCCTGACCGGAATCCAACCTGGGACCCCTCAGTCTGCAGGATGATGCTCTATCCACTGAGCCAATCAGCTAGGGCAAGACATATTTAAAAAAAACAAACAAACAAAGAATGGGCTTCAGCACTGCCCTGATCTGATAGTTTTTTTCTGGAGGAAGAATTCATATAAATCTGCATGAAAATTGCTCCCTCCATTTTATTCCCACAACCAGGGTCTGGTAAAAGTGTGTTTAAGAACATACAAGAGGCAAAATCCTGAAACTAGAAAGGAAATGGGTCCCTTTACCATACTCCTCCACCCTATCTCCACTCCTGTACCAACCTACAAGTACATGTGAACACACACTCGGTTTTTATCCCAGGCCTTTTAAGTTTTGACTCCTCTCTCTAGAGTGAATTGAATCATGTCCCTTGATAAGGAGTGTTTGTGAGAAAGAATGTTTGATATGAATTCAGCCATAGCCCAGAAAATATTCCTGAAATCACTAACCCATTAAAATAATCTCACAAAGGACCTAGGAGGATTTAGAGGCTTGTATCATGATTAAGAGTGTAAGCTCTGGAGCCTTAGTAAGATTGAATCCTGGCTCTGACACTAGCTGTGACCTTGGGCAGTTCACTTCACTGTTCTATGCCTTTGAATCTTTATCTGCAAAATGTGGGATAATATCAGTACCTATCCCATAAGGATTGAATGAAATAATTAATGTATAGCACAATGCTAGACATATAGTAAGTGCTCATTAATATTAGCTATTATTTAATTCTACTACAGTGCCTCACAGTTCTATGCCCATAGTATTTAAAGCATTTGTGGAGCAAATAAAATTGATAACAATTAGTATTTACCAGTGATTTTCAACCTTTTTTATCTCATGGCACATTTAAACAAATTACTGAAATTCTATGGCACAATGATCTAATAAAAAATAGGTATAATTTTGATTCATTCACAGTGTATGGCTATTGTTGTGTTGGCTGTTGTCATTTTTTTATTTGACAATCTAAAAGAAAAGAGGTCAGTGTCCCCGACTAAATAGTCAGGCATTACATGTTTTAAAAATTATTGCGGCACGATGGTTGAAAATCTATGGTTTATATAATACTAGTACATTTCTTTACCATATTCATTTGTCCACACGTGGCCTACCAAATTTCCAATATGAGAAAAGTTGTTGTTATAAAAGCCTATTTCCTCTCCCCCAACAAAATGGTTCTGCCTTCCTCTTCCAAGACCAATTTTCTGGCCCAGTCTCTGCCTCCTCTCCCACTCAGTCAGACTAGTACCCTGTGTTGCTTGAAGATTTCAGAGGTAAAAAGAGAATAGTCAATTAAAGAAGTGTTTGCAGGTGAGAGGGGGCATTTCCCCTGCCCCACCATCATATTCCACAATTCCATCTTCTGTGTATCTAGAAGACTGCTGTAGGACAGAAAGGCCACCACCTATAGGAGATACTGATGATTCATTAACATAATGTATCACTAGAGTTTCTTCTCCTTGGGTAAAGGCAGCAGGTTTTTCAGGTGAGAAGTTGCTCCACTCTTCACCCTAAACTTCCTACATTCCCGGGATATTAAGTCACTGAGGCTAGGGAGGATACCTTGGGAAAATATTCCTGGTTCAGTACCAAGACATGCTTTTCCACCCTGTGTATCGCCTCTCTAGCTCTAATTGGCCTGCCTAGCCCATTGTCTCTCTCTCTCTCTATGTTCCCACAGCACACACCCTTTAAGTAGTTGATTCACATGGCTTTTATGGAGCAAATTATAGTTTCACACTGCTTCTGCTTTTAATATAGGACATATTAATCACTGGGTAGAAATTCTTGTTAGAATACCAAAAAGGCAGTATGTTCTTCTAGAGGTCTGATAGATTATTTCTTTCAAATTCACCTTAAATCACATAGTTAGAAGACAGCAGTGCAAGCTTTTTATGACCCTCTAAGTTTCTTCTTCATCATGAAAGATGGACTGAGGGAGTTGGGTTGAAAAAGGAAATCTCCACTGCTCCAAAGCAAGTCACTTCAGTCCCCCCAAATTAAGTACTTTCCAATCCTTTTAGCCACCAACAGTGGTTGAAGATGTGAAAACTACACTAGATATTCCAGAAAATAGGACAATTCTGGCTAACAGCTCTGCTACTTATTTAAAAGAGGGAGCTCCTGCAACATGTCCTGACTGAATAAGAGGAAGGGAAATGGTTAAAGTTAAATTCTTAGCACAATCCCAAGAGTAAAATTAGATGGGAATGAGAAGTCTTAGGTTGGAATATTCATAGCTCCTCACAGCAATTGTGGTACTACTACATGCTACTAGTGAATTCTCACCTTTCTGGTCTGTGAGGGGCAAGCATTAGTTAGGTAACTGTTGGGATTCTTAGTCCCAATAGGCAGTAGATATAGTAACCTCAATTCCTTCATTACCTTAGAGGCATCCAGGTGACATCCTCATCAAAATATCCAAATGATTTGAGACGTAAGCATTGAGATACACGAGAATGGGAGACTTGCATTCATCCATTAGGGGTATGGGAATGATAAACATATGCTCCAAATTAGAAAATAAAATCCCATGTCACATGATTTACTGTGATCTTATTTCCCTCCTCTGCCTTCACTCTACCTTAGGGTGTCAGCCACCATCTCAACCCCAAACAACATGAAGGTGATATCCAAGCTATTCTCTCTCCCTTAAGAAAACAAATCAACAAAATACTCAAGACAGTAGAAGACACAATGAAATCTTCATTTCTTATACACATTAGAAACATTTTTAATTACAGTTCACCTTCTCTGAGGTTCATATCAAGTAGTAAAATGCCAGAAGCACAGAAAAGCCGGGTTGGAGGGAATCCCTGATAATGAGCTACAAAGTGAGAGATTTTACTCAACCACTCCACTGTACGTACAAGCTGCAGGCCTATGCAGGTCCCTGAGAAAAAGTCATTCTGGCATATGCCCTGAAGGAATCCTACTCTCCACTCCCTCCTCAGAGTGTGCCTACAATAGGCTGCTGAAAAGAGAGGTCCTTGATGAATGATCATTAGTAAAATCCTAATGGAAAGCTAACTCATTTCGGGGGCAGCTCTTTTAATTGTAGGGTTTTTTCTTCTTAACCAGAGTTTCTCATTGGAATTAAAGACTCCAGCTACACTTACATGTTCCACATTAGTCAGAATTTTTCCTGAGGGGTAAACATAGTAAGTGGTCACATCCTCTGATCAGTCAGGATATATTCTATTCTGATTCTGGGCTTTCAGCTTAGCCTCGGGAAAGCTCAGTAATGCACCTCAAGCAAATGAGCAGAACTAGAAGGTCACTGAGAGCCTAAGGTGCATGGAGGTAAGTTATCCCATAGGGAGATGAGACAGCTGACCTGAGTGGGAGGAGTGTAAATGCTATCTCGGACCCTTCTGAATATATGGTGGCAATCTTGGTGTCCAAACATAGCAGTCGATCTTAAGGAAATAAAACCTATTTGAGGGCTGCTCTTTCTTCTGAAAAGCTTACCAGAAAACTCAGGAAAACATTCTGGTGGGTATTCAGCTATGAGCCTCATCCCCTCCTTAAATTTCACAGTTGTTCTTGGCCACCCCAAACCCATCCCCAAATACCCAGGAGATAGAATTAGACAACACTTTGCCTTGCTTCAGCATCAAATGATGGCTCCAAGTTCTCAACCCTGCCCCGAGGGTGCTGGTGGCAACAGACACAGTGGAGGTAGTCCACTATGTTGTGGGTGAAGAGTGAGCGCAATGGATGCAAGTACTGAAAGAAAAGGAGCATGAAACCAATGGAAATCAGGTAAGCAATAATGAGCTGCAAGGCAATCAAGGAATGGCAGTAATTCAATAGCACTTTCACTCCAAAGAACTTAAAAACCAGGACCATGATCACATTCTCTACCAATCTCACACTATAGTGCAGGCCCATATGTCCCCAGTTCTGACCTTTTTCAACAAGGTCCCTGTCTGCCAACTTCAACTGCAATGCTGACCAGCAAGAGAAGTTGATGCCAGCATAGAGTACGGTAATGGAAATCAGCACCACAAGGGTGCCAACCTGGCTGAAATTTTTTTCAATGTTATTGGGCATCTGGGCACCACTCCTCCAGAATTTAACCCAAGGCTCAAAGAGGATAATCAGGAAGTTGAGCAATAAGAAGGGTACAGCCTTCAATTTCAAAGTGGCTGAGAAGAGCACCAAAATCAGGAGGCGGGAAGTAATTTCCAATGTCCTCCAGATGGTGATGCAGAGAACTTCTAGTGGCCCGAGGCGAATCTTGTATTCATCGTACTTGATCTGGATAGCCAACATATTGCAGAGGGTAGCCCCATAGGTGACAGATATCAGGGAAAAGACCATTAGCACAACTGTAAGGAGAAAAAACAAGGAAACAAAAAATAGGCATTAAGTCAATGTTGATGAAGTTTATATTCTGACCCAGAGGTCCAGAAAGATGATAGGGAGACATGAAGGCCCCAGTTAAGAGCAAACTCATGTATGAGCACAGCTATGTAAACAAATAGCAAACCCAGAAACAAAATGGAAAGAAATAAACTAATATATGTATTTTCATAAGGATTATATCAGTTTTTATAATATTTTTCTGTTTCTCTATTTTCTAAATTTCCCATGATGAACATATACTGTAATATTTTGATAAACATACAAACATACACAATGAACTTTTTAAAAAGAACTGATCTCAAAACTAGCATCAAGAGGTCACTAACACAAGAGGAGCACATATAAAGATAAAGGACAGTATCTACCTGGTGAAACAGGCTTCTGAGCAAACAATGAAAGAGGCAGAAAGAGCTCTTAGTTGAAAAATAATCCAGTCTTAGAAGATTCACAGAGAATGCCTTTGGTTATAGAAATTCCTTCCTTGATGTGGTTCTGCTTCAAGGAATTAATCTTGTTTGTGAGTGCTTCAAGAATGTGTCAAAATGTATATTGGAAATTCCATGAGGGCAGAAGGGACCATGTCTATTTTATTTACTGTTATATCCCCAGAGCCTAACATACTGCCTGGAACATAGTATGTGCTCAATAAATGTTTGTGGAACTAATGAAGAATTCTGAGTTTAGAGAGGCAGCTTAAAATACTTATGTTTAGAAGTTCTTGGTTCAGCTGTGTGGAAGCTTGTGAAAGTCACCGAGTAACTATGTACCTCAGTTCCCCCAATTCACTGAGATACTCTAGAGCAGCCGTGGGCAAACTACGGCCTGCGGGCCGGATCCAGCCCGTTTGAAATGAATAAAACTAAAAAAAAAAAAAAAGACCGTACCCTTTTATGTAATGATGTTTACTTTGAATTTATATTAGTTCACACAAACACTCCATCCATGCTTTTGTTCCGGCCCTCCCGTCCAGTTTAAGAACCCATTGTGGCCCTCGAGTCAAAAAGTTTGCCCACCCCTGCTCTAGAGCAATGGTTCTCAACCTTCCTAATGCCGCGACCCTTTAATACAGTTCCTCGTGTTGTGGTGACCCCCAACCATAAAATTATTTTCGTTTCTACTTCATAACTGTAATTTTGCTACTGTTATGAATCGTAATGTGAATATCTAATATGCAGGATGTATTTCCATTGTTACAAATTGAACATAATTAAAGCATAGTGATTAATCACAAAAACAATATGTAATTATATATGTGTTTTCTGATGGTCTTAGGTGACCCCTGTGAAAGGGTCATTCGACCCCCAAAGAGGTCGCAACCCACAGGTTGAGAACCGCTGTTCTAGAGTTACTTGTATTAATCTTTATCAATGGCAATTTGTCGCCCCAATGTTTTGGTATACCTTAGAAATTGCCAAACTTCCAGGAGAGTGGTTTAAAATATAAAAACTCCATTTCCTAGCCTATAACATCCATACCACTGTATGTTAGAGTAGGAGCCTGAAGGATTAGAATAGTTCCTAACCTGCTATACTAAATCTTAACTATAGATCACACCATGGCCCCTTTCTTTTATTCCTTTATAGCAAAGAATACTGATAACTAAGAAATATCTAGTGCTCACAAGGAGACTGAGAGGCTCTGAAGGGTACTTATCCAAAAACCAAAACTACTTGAGCTTTATGTTCCCATGAAAACACTGCATCCAGGGAACTAGAGCAGTGAGATAATCTTCAAGAAAAGTGACAACATCCCCATGGAAATCCAAAAGGATTTGTTTGCTACATCTTTTTCAGCTCTAAGTAGAGTGTTGGAATCTCAAAGACTGGAATGAGAGACTTTCTTAAAGGTTCCATTCTTAGCTTTATTATTTTTATTTTTTCAATTTTTATTAAGATATAATTGATATATAACATTGTATTAGTTTAAGGTGTGCAACATAATTATGTGATATAGTCCTAGCTTTCTAAACCACTCTCAGTCCCATCCTGAAGACTTAATGCTCAAGAGTTGGGAACGTCAAAGTGTACATACATCTATCCAAGTGTGGTGATGCTTTCCCTTTATTAGAACTCACTTACTCAGAGTAGTGTAGTAAAAGAAGGAAAGGCTGATGCTTCCAAATAAATGTAAAAACACCTTCTATCTGCATCCCTACAAATAGACTCATGCCATAAGTGATCATAATACTGTGAATGAATTTGATCACCTATGCTAATCCAGATGCCTCCAAAAGAAAAGGGGATTAGAAAAGGGGTAGCAAGAAGAAGATGGGAGAAAAACTAAACCAAAAAGTTATTTATAAGATTGTATTGTCAGAAAGTTTTTTAAAAAGCTTCCTTTACATTCTTTTCATAGTAATATGTTAGAAACACAGGCTCTAAAGGCAGACACCCTGAATTCCAATCCAGTCTTTGCTACCTTTTACTTATGGAACCTTGGGAAAATTGCTTAACCTCTCAGCGCTTCTAATTCCTCATTTGTAAGATGGGGATAATAATTATCTCATAGGATTGTTGTGAATATTAAATGAAATAATTACATGTAAAGGGATTAGAGAAATGCCTGGAACATAGTAAATGCTATCTGCTAGCTACTATCATCATCATCATCATCATCATCATCATCATCATCATCCCCTATTTCCAAAAGTGTAGTGGGTGCATTTACTTTGGCACTACCAGGACACTTTGGAAATCAAGCAATTTTAAAACTGATAGAATACGTAGAAATAGCCTTACAAAAATGTGAATAACCTATAACAAGAAAATTATTCTTGCTATAGGACCTGCATACTTATGGCATAGATTGTGGTGAGATTTCATGGAGGTATACTTGTCTCCAAACTTATCAAGTTGTATACATTAAATAGATAGAGGTTTTCATTTATTAGTTGTATCTCCAACAGTGATTTAAAAATATTTAATGAAATGGAGAAATATATCATCTTCTAATATGAAATTGATTGATCCTGTAAAGATATAAATTCCTTCCAAAATAGCCTAAATAATTTCATGTAATCCCAATAACAGAGTCAATGAACTGTTATTTCATTTACCATTGTTATTGTTTGCTTTGCTTTGTTTTTTGGTGGGGGAGTTGACAAATTGATGGTGGAAAATCATCTATTTGGAAGATCAGGATAAATTGCTCTATCAGATATGAGTTGTGAAAGGCCTTTGTTAAAAAGTCACAATATCTAAAAGCAATAAAAAATTTAAATACATAAACATTTAACCCTTCAAAATGCCAGAAGATACAAGTATAGTGTTGATCTTAGACATGTGTTGTGCATATGTGCTACATGTTACATGTATGACACATATAATGCACATTTAAAATATGTGTATAACCCAGCTGGGGGTAGCTCAGCGGTTGAGCATTGACCCAGGAACCAAGAGGTCACGGGTTCGATTCCTGGTCAGGGCATATGCCCAGGTTGTGGGTTCGATCCCCAGTGGGGGGTATGCAGGAGGCAGCCAATCAATGATTCTCTCTCATCATTGATGTTTCTATCTCTCTTTCCCTCTCCCTTCCTTTCTGACATCAATAAAAATATATTAAAAAAATAAAATAAAATATGTGTATATACACAAAAAACATACACATGTACACATACATACTTATCCAGAGCAGATAAAAGATTAATAGCCAGAATATATAAATAGCTCTTATAAATTAATAAAAAGATAAACCACTAGAAAAAGTGACTAAAATATGTAAATAAGCAATTTAAAGAACATAATGACCAAACATGAAAAGATGTAGAGCTTCATTCATAATAAATAATGCAAATTATGTCTTAAAATAAGTTATTTTATAATTATACAACTAAATAATATTTAGCTTAAGATATGAAGAAACAAGCACATTCATATATTGTTGGTGAGAATATAAATGCATACAATCTTTTTTTGGGGGGGGTTATTTGGCAATACTGATAAAATTCTAAACATGCATATCCTTTTACCCAGAAATTCTACTGCTCAGGATTTATCATACAAAGTTTCATTCCAGTACACAGATGTTCATGGGAGCATAATTTATAATTAGAAAAATATTTTGCATGAAAAATTAGAAACAAACTTCAATCCTACCAAAAGAAGACTGGGGAAATAAGAAAGAATGGTCCAATTCATATGAGGAAAATATATATTATATACTTATCGTTATTATTATTTTTAATAGATTGGGAGCATCTTTTTTTTCTTTTTTAAGGGGTTTACCTTTTTTATTTTTAAATATATTTTATTGATTTTTTACAGAGAGGAAGGGAGAGGGACAGAGAGTTAGAAACATGGATGAGAGAGAAGCATCGATCAGCCGCCTCCTGCACACCCCCTACTGGGGATGCGCCCACAACCAAGGTACACGCCCTTGACTGGACTCAAACCTGGGACCCTTCAGTCCGCAGGCCAGCCACACTGGTCAGGGCATTATTTTTATTATATGTGTATGTATAAATAATTGTTGAAGAAAAACATACTGGTTCACTTTTGAAAAAGACTCTGCTTAACAGAATGTTTAATGCAGTTCTTTTTTTGGCAAAAACATACATACATGAATATGTTGTACGTATGTTTATATTTACATTAGAGGCCTGATGCATGAAATTCATGCAAGAGTAGGCCTTCCTTTCCCTGGCTGCCAGCACTGGCTTCCCTCTGGCACCCGGGACCCGGGCTTCCCTTACAGCCCCTGCTTCATCCAGAAGGTCATCAGGGAGGATGTCCAGAAGGACATCTGGTCTAATTAGCATATTATGCTTTTATTATTATAGATAATAAAATTAAGTCTGGAAGGATATATACTGAATGATTAACAGAGATTACCTTTTGGAAGTGAGATTACATCTCCTCTTTTATATATATTCTGTATGGTTTTGAGTCTTTACCTTATCAGATTTTTATAATTAAAAAATAAGGATAAAAATAATATTACCTTAAAATTTTTTTAAAATAAGGACCCAAAATAATAAAACAAGATCATGATAACAATTTCAAACTATATACTAGTACAGCGGTTCTCAACCTGTGGGTCGCGACCCCTCTGGCAGTCAAACGACCCTTTCACAGGGGTCGCCTAAGACCATCCCGCATATCAGATATTTGCATTATGATTCATAACAGTAGCAACATTACAGTTATGAAGTAGCAACGAAAATAATTTTATGGTTGGGTCACAACATGAGGAACTGTATTTAAAGGGCCAGAAGGTTGAGAACCACTGTACTAGTAGAAGGGTATAAAGTAAAAAGTAAAAGTTGGCTGACTCATTTCCACTCCCCAGAGGTAAATTGTTTCTTGCATATATTTCCATAAATTCTTCTTTGCATATACAATTACCTGGTCAATTGATTTGTGTGTGTATTACTTTTGTAACATATACATATTTTAATTAGAAGATTTGATAACCCTCAAAATTTTCAGGAAGAAAAGCATTATCATTCCTTTCTCCTCCCACTATTGTACATTCTACATGTGTGAAAAGCTTCAAGACCAATAGAACTTCGTGAACAATTCTTAATGGAGAAAAATACGAAAGAGGGAAATTTTTCTCCTTACACTTATTTGAGACATGGGCTTTGCCAAGCAGGGTCAGTACCTAATAATAAGAAAATGATCCAAAATTATACCCACAGCTGTAGCAGCTCCAGCCCAAGCAGATGAAGCTAATCTCAGGCTATTAAAAGTCATTAACAGTACCTTATCTCAACTTTGAAAACATTAATTCATATTTCATCCTCTGCCAAAGTTCTTACTCATCTCAGGATCTCTCTTTTACAAATGGGGAATTAAGACAGGGACCTCTTTGGTAACTTCCTCCAAAGATCACAGAGAAGGTCAGAACTGGGATCAGGTGTGACTCTGAGCAGTATTCACTCCACACCCCATCTCTTTCTCCCCACTGGAGTTGGGAGAAGTAATTAAATCACTAGCTTCCAAATGTGTCTGATCAGACTCAACTGGCTAAATTAAAAAATACAGATTCCTGCCCTGGCTGGTTTGGCTGAGTGGATAGTGTTGGCCTGCGGACTGAATGGTCCTGGGTTCGATTCCAGTCAGGGGCACATGACCAGGTTGTGGGCTCGGTCCCCAGTGGGGGACATGCAGGAGGCAGCCAATCGGTGATTCTCTCTCATCATTGATGTTTCTATCTCTCTCTCCCTCTCCATTCCTCCCTGAAATAAATAAAAATATATTTTTAAAAAATACAGCCCTAACTGGTTTGGCTCAGTGGATAGAGCGTCGGCCTGTGGACTGAAGGGTCCCAGGTTTGATTCCAATCAAGGGCATGTACCTTGGTTGTGGGCACATCCCCAGTGGGGAGTGTGCAGGAGGCAGCTGATCGATGTTTCTCTCTCATCAATGTTTCTAACTCTCTATCCCTCTTCCTTCTTCTCTGTAAAAAAATCAATAAAATACATTTTAAAAAATACAGATTCCTATTCTCCCCACACTCAGATTGATTCAGGTCTGAGTAGAAAATGTAACTGTAAAAAGGAATTTCATGATCAGTAATATTGGGGAACCTTTTATTTAAATATGGTCATCCCTAAAGAAAACAAACAAACAAACAAAAAATCCTCAGTATAATTTAAACACTCTAGGCTAGAGAAAATGTCCTACTGACTGCTGGGATTACTAGCTTCCTCTGAGAGCATTTATTACTAGCTCAGAGAGGGTTTATCTGTGGCATTATTAATCTAAATAGCTTACCTCAGTCTAAGAAATGTGGCAGGCCTGAGATGTCTGGATTCCCAAGTGCTTTGACTATCTACCAGTGCTACCCAGAACTTTCTACAATGATAGAAATGTCTGTCACATATGTGCTGTCCAATAAGTGACCACTAGCCACACATAGCTATTGAACAATTGAAATATAACTAATACGTCTGAGAAAGTAATTTTTATGTAATTTTTTCATTTTAATAGCCACAGGAAGCTGTTGGCCAGTGTATTAGACAGCTCAGCTCTAGATTTCTAAGACCCTTGATTTAAGTGGAGCCCTCCCCAATCCTGACTCTACTCACCTCTACCCAGGGGGACCTCTGCAGAGATCAGGGTCACATAGAGCTGATAGGTCAGCTGGGGCACTGAACCCAGGAAGGCTTGGATCTGTGACATACGCTTGTAGGCATTGCGGTGCATAGCCAGGGTCCGGATGGAGTGGCCCACCTCCCATTCTATCAGCACCTCCTCGCCATTTATTAGCATCTTCTTTCGGGTGAGGCTGACATAGGGCTCCTCCTGCCCCTCTTTCTTCCACAGTGTGAGGTACTTAATCATGGCCTCCAAACATCTGCAGAGGTAAAGCATCATGGGAACTTAAGCTGTCTTGGAAAGGGAGGTTTTAGTGGGGGGCGGGGGATAACTCAGAGAGTTAGTGCTACTTTTTGCCATTCCTTCTCTCCCATTCTACACATTTCTTGTGAGTCAAAGAGTTGGTGGTGCCTTCTGCAAGTTACTTAAATCTAAATCCTTTTTGTTTCTTTTTCAGTCACCCACCACCTAAGGACACCATTTCAGAAGTGTCTCTTTGAGGAATTAAGGAATTGCTTCGCCTCTTTAAGAATAAGCCCACAGGCAGGAAAGTGCCTTAAACATCAAGATATTAAATAATGTGTTGAGAGAGAATAATGATGTTCCAAAAGGCCCTGGTTGTCATAAAGCCTCAAGTTCCTGAGGTCAAGTGTTCCTTAGTCAAAGCATTCAGCCCCATAATTGGCGCTTTTGAGTTCTGCTTTTTCAAGACAAAACTCACAACTATGAGTATCTCAGCTAAACAAGTCTTGACTGGGATCTAGAGAAAACCTGTCACATACATGGGAAAGCCATTTAGCAACAAAGGTACTTAAGAGACTTGACAACTTAGAACCTAATGTACTATATATCTAGGGCATCTCAAAAGATCTCTCTATGGGTTGCTTTTGGGGCCTATGGACCTGTTTGGGAACAGCAGCCTTTTAAATTCCATGATCTTTTTACAAAGAGGGAACCATACTTATGAGAGCCTACTGCCCTTGAAATAGTGATAAGACCACATTCCCTACTGTACCCCTTCCATCTCCCCCATATAAAGAAGTCATTCAAAGTTCTGATGTAATGAATAGAAGACAAGCAACTAGAACATCTTGTTTTGAAACACCTGAATTACCATTTCCTCTATTCACCCTGAAATGAATGGAAACTGTGGACTATTCCTTATAAGTAAGAGCAGTTGTGAAAATTAAGCCGTCTTTTCTGATAGGCTGAGGGGAGGAGAGGGGTATATTTATCTTGCCCACTACCTTTATCACATAGTGGGTAATTGATAAATGGGTATTTGCTGAATAAGTGAAAGAGTGAGAAAGAAGTAGAGAAAACAAGGTGAGAAATAATGGGAGGAGAGGATAATAATAATAGCATAATTTAACAAAAAAATAGACCACAGACAAGCAGAGATGTATATGCTCCCTAGGCCTTTGGCTCCCAAGAGGAACATGTGCTAGCTGCCATTCTCCACGGGATCCCTTTGAGATGGGTGCTTGTAAGACAGCCTGAAGCATGTAGGTCGAAACACCCACTTTCTAGGGACAAACTCTAAAACCCAGGAGAGAAAAAGATAGGAGAGAACAGAGAAGAAAAAAGCAACATTCTCTTCCTATTCAGGGAAAATGCCTAAGTGCATTTCTAACAAAATATTTTAGATTTTAATCCAAGCTTATCAATGCTATTGCTGAATAACATTTTGAGGGTGACAGCTGCATAAAGCATTCTCTTTTATGCTTCTAGTCTTAAGGATATTTACTGGTTTAAGTAAGGGTGTTTGCCTTGCTTATAAGCTTCAGTAAATTAGAGTATATTTTCATTTCCAGAAGTTATCTTTGCATTTATATAAGGGAGCCCAGCCCTGCAAGTGTGGCTCAGTTGGATAGCACTGTCCCATGCACCAAGAGGTCAAAGGTTTGATTCCCAGACAGGGCTCCATCCCCAGTAGGGGGTGTGCAGGAGGCAGCCAATCAATGTTTCTCTCTCTCATGCTCTCACCTCTCTCTCTCTCTCTCTCTCTCTCTCTCTCTCTCTCTCTCTCTCTCCACCTTCATCTCTTTCTAAAATCAATAAAAAATACTTTTGAAAGGGAGCAGGGTCCTCCAAATACCTTCATGTGCCTAATAACACTAATCAAGTTCCTACCTACCTAAAAAGTCATTTGACTTGAAAATAATTGAGGATATAATTTATGAGCTTTTAATTGTTTTTTCCCCTGCTGTGGGGCTAACTGACTGATATTATAAATGCTTTCCAATCATTTCTAGAGGAAGCTAAATGACAAAACTAAAATATAGTATTCAACAGTCCATATGGTGGAGTCCAAATCAAAGATGGCTTGGGAGGCCACAAAGCAAAAAGGGGAAGTCAAAGCTGGGGGCTGGTATGAACTCACTGACATTTGCATCTTGAAAGTGCTTGATCTATTAACTCAAAATCTTGCATTTGAAAAGGGAGAGAAGAATGGATTCCATGCTCCTCTAGTGACATCTCTAAATTTCTTGCTTCTAGGTTGATGAGGTCTTCCTTTTACAGCTTAACTTCAAAGATTTAGAACTGAAAAGGACCTTTTTAGATTACTTAGTCCAAAGGTTAGATATAGGCCAGCTAAATCACATCTGATGATCAATAGCTATGATTTGTTTGGCATACACCATGTTTTTATTTTATTAGTCATGTGCCAAAGTTTAAAATCATAGTATTTCATATCAAATTCTATTGTTGGGAGCTTCTCCTGAAAAGCTGGGGGATCTGGCAATACTGGGTCTGAATTTCAACAGGGAAACAATGGGTGGGAGCTCTAGAGTCTGCTTCAAAGGAGACAGATCATGTGGACTCCAATTGCCACAGTCATCACCACTCTCCATCATTTAACATGGAACTTTATTTTCATTTATAATCACACATAAAGCTACTGTTTTTTTTTCATGCGTGGCCTGTTTTATTAATTTGTGATGCCTGCCTGGCCTCTGTAAGCATTTGAGAGCCATGATCTAGCCCATACCACCCATTTATTTTACAGATGAAGAAACTGTGGGCCAAGGTATCTTCAGAGATTTTATCAAGGCCATGCAACTAGTCAGTGACACAGTTAGGGCTAAATAACAGGTCTCCTGAATTCCAGGCCACTGTTTCTGTTTATATCTCATATTTGCTCTGATGGAGCCTAATCAATTCCTCCCTGTTTAAACATATATTGTTAAAATTTTAAAGGGGAAGTTCCATCCTTAATCAGCTTTGGACTGTGTTTATTTCCACAAGGATAACATATCTTCCCATTGAAATTACAACATCAGCACTCTGACCCATATTCCTCGGCTGACTGTAGGTTTCTGCCTCTCTTGCAATCAAGACAAACTTGGTCCATTCCTTTCTCCTGACTTCATAAGTTTTGCAACATCTCCCTATCTGGGTAATCCCATAGCGTCCAGATGAGACTGCTGACATAGATGCCTGTCTCCCTGGGATACGGCACATTCTTGTATCTTCAAGGCAATAAAATGGAAATACTTGATGCTACTACATTGTGCTACAGCATCCAGATGGACAAATGGACCATCTTTCTTTGCCCTTTTCTAACCATGTACCTTTACTTTAAAAAGATACAAAGAGATAATAAACAGGAAATATATGAACTAGCAGAGAAAAATTAATTACAGTGAACTGGGGTACCAGATGACCACAGATGGCTTAAAATATCCAGTCCAAGCAGTTCAGGATGAAGAAATTGAATGTGATATGGGATGTATGGGTTAGGAACTTTCATTCAATTTATAGAGCATCTAAAAGCCAGTAAAAATAACACACTCTTCAGTTAAGTATGGCCTATGTGCACAAGGTGACCATGTCAGTTGATCCCTACCAATTTTCCCAACCCAAATCCAGATAGCAAATATTGTCTAATCTAGTTGTATCAATGGTACTAAACATAGTTTTGGAACACAGGTACATGTCACATGTTCATCTTGGTGGCATCTAAGACTTCAGATAAGATTTTTTGGATGGTAGGCAGGGAAGCCAAGAGTAGGAGGAAATGAGAGAACCAGTTGGAGGCACAGTATCAGTCTCGTAAATATTAACTTCATCTTTCTCTGCACAAGTTCGGGGTAGTGGTGGGGGGAAGGGGAAGAGGGGAGGTGGGAAGAGATCAAAAGGTTACTCACCTGATAACAGGTCCCAAAAGTATTAGATGCATAAACAATGAGAGTGGCTTGTCTTTGGCCAGATCTCTGTGGACAAAAATGAGTGTCAACTGGACCATAATGGATGAAAACATAAAGAAGGAAAAGGTGTATGCCATCCAGTAGGTTTCACTATTCTTTCGATAGATTCTAACCATGTACAAGGCAGATGCAGCCTCCCCACAGTACAGGAAGGTAGAGAAAAGGATGCCAAATGGAAAGGTAAATCGGGGGTTGGCCCCACGGATGACATCTTCATCCAGAGATGAAATCGGATCCACATTTGGCTCCTCAGGCATTTCATAAACTCGGTCCATTGTCAAGGTTCTGAGCGTTTTGGTCTGGTCTTCAGAGAGAACCCTTCCCAACCCCCCTAAGAGAACCCTGAAGCCACTGCAGTCCAAGTATTGGTGAGAAGAGCTGTCAAGTCCAATTCCAGAACGGAGATCTAATAGAGCAGGAGACCCCTCTCTTCTGGTCTCAAATTAGACTTGTTGAAGTCTGGGATGGAGAGCCCAGGAGTACCACCTTGAACTTGATTCTTGAATGGCTCAGGATTCCAATTGTCAACATACGTGCTCTGAAAGTTGGACTAGGCAAAAGCAAGCATTTTTGTGCCCGGTCCAGAATCCAGTTCCAGGCAGTTGAAGGGCCATGAGGACAGCTGTTTCCGTGTGGGCTCCTGCTTTCTCACCCCCACCCCCACCCCCGCCCCCCAGGCAGGAGGATAGCCGCTCTAACACTCAGCAGCTCCTCTCGAGGAGTCCTGACCAGCGTGCCCTCTCAAATCAGCCAAGTACTGAGCCAGGGTAGTAGAGGGGGCGCAGCCTGAGTGGCTCTTAGTTTGCCTTCTCGTCTGGTTCTCTCTCAGGACCCACGCTTAGTCGAAGGTTCTCAGGATGGCTCCTCGGATTCCGCAAGCTCCGCCCCCAAGGCCGGAGCGAGGCCACAACCCTGTCACTGAACGCAGTCTTCCGGAAGAGAAGCTGAGCGCGCGCGCTACAGGTTTAAGAGAAAGCTGGAGGGGTTTCTTTTCCACGAAAAAAGTTTGCTTGCGTGAAGCACGACGTGCGGGGCGCCAACCTGGCCGGGCAGATGTCTCCAAACTTGAGTGCCATCTGCTGCCGGGGTCCTGGTTCAGCTGTCAGAGGACCGTGGCTTCAGGAACTGAGGCACTGATGACCGGGGCTGGCTAAAAGGCAGAAACAACTGGGGCCGAACAAAGCCCGCTTGGAGTTCCAGGGCGGGATGCTCAGTGTGGAGAGGCACGACAAAAAGGGGCTTGGACCAATCTTCAGAAGCACTTCTCGCCAGGACTCCGGACCCCAAAGGGAGCCACAGCTATTATCTTCCACGAAGCCGCAGACGCCTGCTTCTACTCCGCCCTCCCTAACTAGCTTGCTCCCACACTAGCTCAACCCACGCTTGGGCAGGTGTGTCTCTCTGGGCCTCGGGGTAGAACCTCCCTAGGTCCTATTGCCCTCCAGATAATATCACCGTGTAGTTGAGGGAAGACCTGAGAGGCAATTGGGCCATAGCATTTCCTTTCAAGGCAACTCTATGCAGCAGAGGGAAGATAGAAAATGATAGGGGACGGTCAAGACTCCAGGTTAGCCCACAGACACTGAAAGCTCATATTATATGCCTTGCTTTTTCCACTTGCAAAATGAGGCCAGTATAGGAACTTTAGAATGAACTTACAGGTTTTTGGCAGGAAGGTTCTGAAGAGGTTCCAGAATATAAATAAACTGGACAGGAGCCAAGAGAGCTGTTAATAAAAACTAAGAGGGGTGTCTTAAAGAGCCCTGAAAATAGCCTGGATTCTTAAGAGCAATACTTCTCCACCTCACTGAGCTTTTGTTTTCATGCCTTCATTTGCATAATTCTAAACCACAGAGAAAACATCTGCATCCTGATGGTAATATAAATGTAGCAGAGCCTGTGCCAATCTCATTTTGCTGCAGGAAGTTAGTAAAAAGAATCCATGTGAGGAGTGGCCAAGTAGCAGCCACCAAAATAATGAAAGACTTAGTCTTGTTTTCATGTTGGTTTTTAAAATCCCTGCAATTGCTGCCTCCTTCTCCAAGGGCTGATTCAGAGACAAATCAACTGCTAAAGGGCGTTGCCTTTGAAACAGTTGCCCCATCTTGGTCTGCACTTGTGCTACCAGCTGGGCTAGCAGGCTGATCTTTCCTCTTTTCTGTTTCACAAGGTGGTTCAACACTATCTGAGAACACCCCACAGATAGTGTTGATTGTTTGGGACTTCCCAACTAGCATAGGTTCTCCACCAACAGTGTATGATGCAGAACTTCTTGGGAGCTTTTTAGGAACCTATTCTCAAGATGGAATTCAAGTAAGGTGACAAACTCATCTCAAGTTTGTTGAGATAGGATGAGTTGGTCACTCTACCACTGGAGATTGAAGCTAGGAAAAATGTGGAAGCCCAATATTTTTCCTTTAGTCTGTTCTCCTTCCCTGTGCTTTCATCACTCCCCAAATACCTAAATCTACAAGGCTTTCCTACTTTGTTCCAAAACAATTCCTTTTGTCTGCCATTCAAGACTCTCTATAATCACCACACTAGTACTTGCCTCTCCAACTTTATTGCCCACTTTACCCTATCACACACCCGTTGCTCCAGTCCAGTAGGTTTTCTCATTTAATCATACCTGCCTTGTGCACTCCCACCTCTGTGCCTTATTAAGGTCATTTATACACCCCTTCACTCTTTTTTCTATAGTCCAAACCTTTCCCTTCCTTTAAGGGTCAGCTCAAGTACAGGCATACTTCGTTTTGTTGTCCTTCACTTTATTGTGCTTGAAGGCAAGACCCTCCACCAGCAATAATATTACAAGTCACTTTACTGCAATGATCTGGAACTGAATCCACAAAATCTCCAAGATATGCCTGCACTACCTCCTCCAGGAAGCTGCCTCTCACTTCCCCAACCTTCACTTTTCCCTTTGTCTTTTTGCTACTGGCACATGCTATCTTGTACTAGTCCTTCAACAATTTCTGTGTTTGCCCTGCCTCTCCAGCAAATATGTATACCCAGGGAGAGATGCTCAACTAATGTTTACTGTAGTTCTTGTTGATAACAATAGTGATTGACAAATGGTGATGATGATGAAACTTCCTCCCCCATGCTTCCTCCAGAAAACCATGCAAAACTCGGGCATACTCATCTTTAAAAAATGTAGCCACTGTAGCCAGGGCATAACATCCCTTGGTACACACACTGCCTAGAGCCAGCCATTCAGATCACAGAGGATGCCAACCTACATGATTTGTCCTTCTCAAAGTTCCTACAGTGCTTTTTTGTCAATACCAGTTTAGCAGCAAATTACAAATTATTTCAAGTGCATTAATTTTTACCCCACAACTAAATTATCATATATTCCTTGAAGGCAGAGCCCTTGCTGTTACACTTTTTCTGGGTTTCCCCATGGCTAGGATAGACCTGTGAGTTCCCTGCCATCTGATCCTCCTCACCCACCTGCTTCTCTATTTCCAGCCCCAGGACTCTCTGGAACTTTAGGTCACTAAATCCTCTGGTCTCTTATTTCCCTGTTCCTTTTGCTCTGCTGGGAGAAACTGAGAATTTGCCGTATCTGTCCAACTCTCTTTCCTCTTTCAAGCATTCTCCAGACTTCAGCCCTTTACTCTTCATAGGACTAGAGACTGGAAATGTTGACAGTTAGGAGACTGCAGAGGCCCTGGGAACCTCTTCCACATTACAAGTACTGATCTCCCAAGGACTGGTCATCTGAGATGGTACCCCAGGCTGCCTGTTCCCTGACTGCTAGGTAGTGTTTGGGGATCAATTTCCTCTTCTTCATGCAGAACCAAAGTTCTGTAGGAAAGGGTTACCCAAATTTGACTCCTCACCCACCCCTACCTCCAACTCCCAACTCAGCAGGAGCAGAAAATGGGTCTAAAAGCTCTTGGCATCTTTATCAGGATTCAGAACCCCTCTGAATCATATAAGGCTTGGGGATAGGTTTAAGCTTTCAAAGCCACTGCAACCAGAGCTGATGTATAAGAAGTAGCTGGCATTCCCAAGGGAAGAGGACGGAGAGAGATGTGCAGCAAGTGGATAATAGTCCAGTCACAGAACACTAGTTGGTGGGAAGTGATGTGCAAGGCCTGGAGAATCAGTAGCTAGGATGGAAGAATGGATTTCTTCTACAGAATGATGAGTTTGGACTATTAGAATCTTTAAAAGATACCCAATGCAAAATCATTCCTGTATGTTCTGGGCCTTCTCTTTTCCCTGAGGACAAAGACTTTTGCCTATCCTGTTCCAAGCCACTCCCTCATCAGTATCCTCCATAGGTGGCATCTGGGCCCAGAATCAAAACACAAGTGAGTTCCCTGAAGCCCTCACCCGTAGCATTTTTATTTTTTTAAATTTGTTAAAATGATCATCTCAGTTAGCATTGAAGGCAAGGAAATACTACCACAAAATGCAGCATGGAATTTGGGGGTGAAGGGTTTTGCCAGGCAGTTCTGGTGGAGGGAAGGGATGGGAGGGGTGTTTTATTTATTTAAGAGAAATGATTTATTCTATCAATAATGGCTGTGTAGAGATATAATTTACAGACCACACCATTTGCTCATTTAAAGTATACAATTCAGTGGTTTTAGTACAATGTTGTGCAGCCATTACCACTACCTAGTTCCAGAATATTTTCATCACCCCAAAAGGAAATCCAATATCCATTAAGCTTCCACTCGCCATTGTTGTCTCCCCCAGCCTAGAAAAATCACTAATCCAATTTCTATCTCTATGAATTTTTTCTATTCTGGACAGTCTATATAAATGTGATCATATAATATATGGCCTTTTGTGTGTCTGGCTCCTTTTACTTATCATAATGTTATCAAAGTTCATCCATGTTGTAGCATGTGTCAGTACTTCATTTCTTTTTATGGTGAATAATATTCCATTGCATGGATATACCACATTTTATTTATCTATTAATCTGTTGATGGAATAAGGGTTTGTATTAGTCAGAGCTTTTCAGAGAAACAAAATGGGGAGGGGAAGGGAGAGAGAGATTTAAGGATTCACACAGTTATGGGGCCTGGTTTGTAGACATGCCAGCAGGCTATAAATTCAGGAAAGAGGTGATGTTGCAGTCTTGAGTACAAAAGCTGGAAACAGGAAGAATTTCTATGTTGCAGTCTGGAAGCAGAATTCCTTCTTCTTCAGGGGGCCTCAGTCTTTGCTCCTAATCTGTTTTATTCAACATCTACTAATTTAAATGTCAATAATATTTTAAAAATACCTTCACAACACATCTAGATGCATTTGACCAAACAACTGGGCATCATAGCATAGCCAAGTTGGCACATAAAATTAACCATCATAGGGTTGTTTCTTCTTTTTGGCTATTATGAATAATGCAGCTAGGAATATTTGTGTACACATTTTTGCATAAACATGTTTTCAATTCACTTGTGTATATGCCTACAAGTAAAAAGCTGGATCATGTGTCAACTACATGTAAAATTTTGAGGGATTGCCAGACTTTTCCAAAGTGGCTGCACTATTTTATATTTCCATCAGCAGTGTGTTTCTCCATTTCCTCAACAACGCTTGTTATCTGTCTTTTTATTATAGCCACACAGTGGTTTTTGATTTGCATTTCTTGGATGGCTAAAGTGATTGATTGGTTGGTTGAT